CGYTCCATAACTGGAGCCATTCCAGGACAGTTGTGGACAATTACCTGGTGATTTGCAGAGGATTTTCAGCCAGCATCTCCATCATGCCCTGTGACACCCTCAGGAGCAGTGTGCTGCTCCRGGGAGAGGCTGAGCAGGGTCTGCCAGCGCTGTGTCCTGCCTGGGGACAGCTGGGGACAGAGCCAGCGGGGACAGGCACAAACTGACCATGCCAGACAAATTAAACCCATCCAGGAACCCCCACTGAGCTGGGGCCAGATAAAGAGGCCAGATGTCACCAAGAGGGTTGCTGTATTTTAACTCTCAGTGCACTTCACAACACTGCCGGAACCTGCACCTCTGGCCAGAACCCCTTCTCTTATGACAAACTCTCATGAAACAAAATCCTAAACAAGCAGGTTTGTGTTACTCCTCAGCAAGCATGGGGAGACAAGAGGCCCCTGAGCAGTTCAAGCCAATTATTAATAMATTCAAAAAATATAGCAAGATCCATCTGAAGACTATGGATAAAGTTCTCTACAGGCCAATACTTAGAAATAAATGGGGTATCTGGAAACTAATGATCAGTTAATATGCATGTCATCAACCATGGCAAATAAAATGTCAAATAAACCAGATGTTTGGGTTRCATCAGTACTTTGACAGAGACCTAAACTTCCAGGTGCAGCAGATTTTCAGTCTAAAAGTGTTTTATAAAAAATAAAGCCACTCAAAATATTTTAAAATTAACTGATAGGTACTACATGATAAATAGACATGTAACCAAATGGTTTCTGTCCTTGATCCAACCCTATTCAGTASATTACTCAATCATCTGGGAAATGCACAAAGCCATTGCTGATGCAGTGTGTGCACGGCRGCACCGGGTGCCAGGAACAGCATTAATGAAGGGAACAGATCTGGAAAGCTGGGCAATATCCGTTTATTTGAGCAAAGTGCTCTCAATAGCTGCAAATGGCACMGTGCCTGTCTAAGGACCAAGTGCACCGGCCATGCTAATCATACAGATAACAGCAATTAAGAAAGGAAATGAGGAGGTTTGTACAGAACCAGCCACACATGGACTCCTCATGTGATGCTGTTACTAAGAGGGGGAAAGCAATCCAGGGCTACAGAAAGAGGAGATTAACAAGCAGGCACAGGGAAATGGTGTTATTTCAGCCTCCAGTATCCAAGATACCACTGCTAAATGCTGTGGGCAGCTCTGGTGACCATAATTCAAGGATAGGCCTAGAAATATATGAAGGATTCAGACAAGACTCTGAAGTCATATTGGCTCTGGAAAAGTTGCCTGATAGTAAGAGGCTTTGGTGGCTCAGGCTATGCCCTTTCCTAAGAGGTGGCAGGGATAATTCAGCCCCAGTCTGCAATTGCCTYTGAGAGAAGAAAGTCTGATAGCTGGGAGCTCCTGGCCTGGCCAAAATGGACCCATTGCAGAAGCAGTAAATGCAGCAATCTGCTTAAAGCAGAGCCCTGGGCTGTGGTAAATTCCACTTCATTCTGTGAGAAGCACGGGTGATGTGTGGACAAAATCCCAGGCTGGAGTCAGGGTGCAGCTGGAGTTTGGATGTGCAAAGCTGTACCTCCTGGCTTGGACACACAAACAAGGAGGTTTTGGGGCTCCTGCAGGTGACAAACCCCTCCCAGCTGTGCTTAAAGCTCTCCCTGCAGCTGCCCCAACTCTGACCTGTGTGTGACATGTCTTAACAGTACCAAAAATGAGGYTAATGGCAATGGGAAAAATTCCAAGTGAATTAGAGAAAAGGRTGCTGCATGGACAGTATCTGAGGAGCCAACAGCTCAAACTGCCTGCCAGGGCCATTTGCARTGAAGGACACTGAGATCTTTGGGGTTGGTTCCTCACAGGGAACACATGAACAGCTTGAGGATGATTTGGGGCTGTGTTACTGTACCTGTTGTACTCTCCAAACCACCACAAGCATTTCCACCCAAAGCTGTGTATGGATTAGCTGGGGGGGACTCTGCACTTAATCTAATTAAAAGAAGGAGAAAAAAACATGACAAACCTACAGAGTGATTRGGCAACATTTCACATGTCAGAACAGAAGATCTAATTCAAGTTTGGRATTTGTTGGAATGCTTTGACTAAAAAGAAATAAAGGCTGGCATTATGACAGAATRTATTGTAATGGAATCTGCAGCATCAGATCTTTTCCAGGCAAAAATTACTTGTTACAGTAAATGATCTAAAAAATCAGTATTCATATAAGRATCTGTGTGCATCCACAAAATAGGAGTTGCAAATGCATTAGGTTTAAAACAATCTCAGAAAAAAACTCATTTTCAGTTAAGTTCCCCCATATCCTGCCCTCTCAAATGACTGCAAAGAGCATCCATATAGTCCCAGAAATCCCATTATCTCCCTGTTCTTGTAAAAAAWTCAGCAGTGTTTCTTTGATAAATTACATTCCTTTCTATCATATTATTTTAGTAAAAAGTACACATCAGAGCTCTTAATCAAAGCCCACACCTGTAAATTGGATTTTTATATATGTAATTGGAACATATACATGTGTAGAATATAAATACAGTACATGCACGTAGAGATGGGATCAGGATATCCCATTACCAAAACAGAGCTATCATTTCCACAGCTCTAAAAGAGCCTATTGTGAYCTGTGATTTATGTGTTTGTGGGAGCTGTGCTTGTCACCCAGAGCTCCATGCCTCCTTCATTCCTCTGGTTAAAATAGATTAGTTTTTTTAGTTTGTCTATGTGATAAGCTATTCTGGAAGAGTTATTCTTGCATGGATGCCCTCAGTCTGAAATGAAATACTTTATCATTTTGATTTAGCTTTATCCATATGTTTAAAATTCCCCTATTCCACATGAGGGAACCAAAGAACAAACTGAGCAGCAAGTTCTGCTYCCAGTCCAAATGTCCTAACACTGGWGCTGGGCTGAAAAAGCTCCTTRATAACAGAGTGCCCTTAAACATYGGCTGTAGGTGTGCATCCTTCTGGGGGMGGGACTGGTCCAGCCAAGAGGAGAGACATGCAAAGGAAGAGAAAAGACTGCACAAACACCATCACAGGATACAAGACACRCCTCAGGGTCCTTGTGTTCATCACATCTGTGAGGCAAATGCTGCCCTTTCATCCCTTTCACAGACAAGCAGCTGAAGCGTGTGGGAACACAGAGAATTCTCGGGGCTGAGGGATTTGAGTGCTCTCATCACACTGACTTCCATCAAAAGCCCATGGTGGTTCCAGTGACTTGCCCAAGTGCCCAAAAGGTTMATTCCCAGTTCAGGGAATTAACCCCCAAGTGGCCTGAGTCGAACTTTAGAAGTGACCATTGCTATGCTCACATTTAACACAAAATTGGCTTCTTCAGGAAAAGTGTCACTTCAAAATTTCCATTTTATATTACTTCACTTAAAATTAGCCTGTGCCAAGCATGTAGGAAACAAAAAATTGGGGCGAAGCACAGAAAGACCAGCTATGCAGTTTAGATTTGCTTTTGTGACACCCTGGGTGATGGGAGGGCAAGCTCCCAGCCTACAAACAGCAGGGCTGCAGTTCCCCCAGTGAGCAATCCTAGGGCTGGCCCCAAGGTGTGGCTGGCACAGGGACCCGGGCACACTGTGCCAGACTCGCTGCCAGCCTGGGACAGCAGCACGGGGAGCAAAGCACACCCAGTGACCCCAGGACGCGCTGGCACAAGGGACAGGAGCTTTGCGTGTGGTGTGACAGGGATGGAGCCAGCTCTGGGGCTGTGGGAGCGCATCCCAGAGCCTCTCCCGGACAGAGGAGGCTGAGAGAGCATCCCAGAGCCTCACCCGGACAGAGGAGGAGAAGGGAGCACATCCCAGAGCCTCACCCGGCTCTAGGAAGAGGTGGGAGAGCATCCCAGAGCCTCACCCGGCCCGAGGAGCAGGCTGGGGATGAGTCAAGCCCTAGGTAGGTCAGGCTGCGAGCGCTGCCGGCAGCACCACGCCGAGCATCCCGAAAGCATCCCCGCGGGAGACAAGCAGCCCATTCACCTCTCTTTTCCCAGCCGGCAGAAATGGAAAAAAAAAGCCAGCCAGGAGCTTTACAGCCTCTTTATTTAAAAGATAAAATGGAAATAAACTTTCGAATGACGTTAACTAAAACTTTCTAAAATAAAACTTCCATTAAAAGGGGAGGCTGAAAGCAGATTATTTCTGAAGCTGCCGCATCCTCCASAGCGCTCGCTCTTCTCGCATCCCGAACCCCCGCCCCCGGAGGAGCCGCTGCCTCCCACTGCTCCAGCCTCGCGTTCCCTGCTCTAGTTAAAATAAAAGAGAAGGAACCCTGCCTGCAAAGACAGGCTAGCCCGGAGCCTAAGCTCACAACGATCAAGTCGCTCTGTCAGGTTAATTAGCACATAAATTAAGAAATGCTTTGCACGCAGTAGTACCAGGCACAGCCAGGGCCCTCTGTGACACGGTACAGAAGGAAAGCTGTGGGGATGGAAATGAATGAAGCACCAGGGAGCCAGGGCACAACTTTATATCATACCTACGGCCTGTGGTGCAGTGTCTCAATAACCAAAGCAAATTAAAAAAATTCACCCTGTTTCTATCACAGCAGCTGTATCTTTCTTGATAACATTTCTATTATCTTTCTACTTAAACAGTTAGGATATATTTTCCAAATATTTCTGAAATGGGCTTCAACCACACTCTTTGTGGGGCCAGACCATACCTGGGAACSCCCCTGAAGTTCCACCACCAGGTGAACCATTCCATCCCAACAGCAAGTGTCACCAGATCAGAAGAACTTGGTAAATCTACAACCACCTTCCACCCCACATTTCTCCTCTCACACCCAGGCAAGATCCTTGGTCAATGACAATATACTATAAATTCCTATTTTTTTTAAATTATTTCCATTATTTTTATGAAGAACCATAAATTATATCACTCAAAAGAAACCTAGAAAGCAAGGAGGTCAATATGTCAGTGTTCACAGTAGTGAGCAATTCCCAAAATTTTCTTGAGGCTCCTTCTTACCTGAGGATGGCACAGTCACAGAAAGGTCTTGAAAAAACTTATTCTTCTGAATGGAGAAAAATGAAAAAAAAAAAAAAATCTTACCAGTAATACTGAGCCAGCCTGCCAGAAGAAAATGGAAGACAAAAAATATGATTAATGATGCCTTAATCTTTTAATGCAATAATTTCTGCCTTCAAGGGACTTCTGGTAAATAGCACAAAAAGTCTCACCAGGAAATTCCCAGACACATTAATCTTGCTCTGGGCCCTGGCAGRTTCTCTGAGCATGGATCACAGTCGGAGGCTCCTCAGTGCAGCAAGGGTGTTGCTGGGCCAGCAGACAGACAGGGAAACATTTCAGCTCTAAAAGCAGCACAGGTTCAAAGTCTGCTCCACCTCGTACCAYGGGGAACCCCATCTGGAGCTCTGCCACCCCCTTCCACATTGTCAGGATCCTGAAATTCCTGTTGTCCCCACGTTAGCAGCCCCTCCATGGAGCCTGAGGCTATTTCTGGTGCTCCACCATGGCATGCCCAGGCCACTCCTGACTCACTATCCCTGTTTGTTCCATGTCAGGACAGCACAAATCCTTCAAGTGACTCACATCCTGCGTGACCAACCTTGTGGTCCAGCCTGTGGTCCATGCAGTCACACCTCCAGGCCAGCATGACGAGTGACAACCCACCAGGAGAGTATCCATCACTGTCCTGCCYTCATCCCTGTGGAGAAAGCAGGCCTGGGGGTGGGATACACAGCAGAACTTAAAGCTGTCCAAACCAGGGTCAAACAGCTCTGAAGAAAGGGTGGGTTCATATAAACCTTCTGAGCATCTGTTAATTTTAGGAGGAGCACCAAGTGATGCAGCTGAGGGTGTGAGCTGCAAGTCAAAGTGTTACACAAAAGGCAATGCTTTGGGGAAGGGGCCCTGGCCAGGGAATGGAAGCACAGGGACGTAGAGAGAGGATGGATACATGCATGTAGATAAATAGGTTTTCTTTTGACACATCTTTGGTCAATAGGCATCAGAAGATGGAAAGTTTTTAAACCATTATGTAATTTAATTTATTAAAACCTCCTAATCTGCACACATTTTATCCTCTTCTACCTCTTCTCACCAGCAGCAGGGCTTGAGGGCAAGTGTTTGAAGGATGGGGCAGCAGCTTTACAAAACCATTTCCCAGAGCTCCTTAGCCCCAAAGAGGCAACAACCATCAGGTGAACACTGAACAGCAAACAAGACACAGTGGGTCTGGCAAACTGAATTCATGCACCTTGGCAAGAATCAGCTGTACAAGAGCTGCCCACGCTAGAGGGGCAGAGATTAAAGGTTAGAACTTTAGGAAGTGCTTCCAGGCATGCAGGTAATCACACCAGAGATGAGTAACAGCAGTGGGAGCTGGCACAGGAGCACGTGAGCCATGCTCACACCATCACCCCGGGCAGCACATGGGGGTTCAGGGCAGAGCCACACCCTGGGACAGTGGGCAGTGGAGTGACAAACCTTGAGCTGAGAACTGCTACCCAGCCAAGGGCTGCTCCTGAAAAACATCAAACCATGTGTGCTGGGGATTTCTACTGACATAAGGCCATGGCCAAGTGCCCCAGCACGGGGAAAGGAGGGTCCCTGCAGCAGCTGGGGATGCTCTCCAGACATCCCATTTTAGCCAATAAACTCCACAATTTTACAGTAAACTATTAGAGAATCACACACATATGTTGCATATGTGCCCTGGTCATCCCCAGACATCTGCCAAGTTTAAGGAACTTAATTTTCTCACATTCTGAAATCCATACCATCCAGAGCATTGGAAAGATGGCACCAGAGCCATTCTGCTTCTATTGGGGCTGCTGGCATTTTAATGCAGTTTAAAAAGGAATGTTGCTGTTCCCACCTCCTCCATCACTCTTCATACTTCCTCACTGCATTTCCCCCAGTCATTTCAGCACATTCCCATCCATTCATTCATCATCCTCCCCAAGCTGCTTTTATTGGATCCTGCTTTGTATTTGGTGCCCCAGACATTTCTCTTTATGCCCGAGAATAACCAGAAAAATCAACCTGTAGAAGAAAATRAATTTGCTTTTAAAAGTAAGAACCCTGAGACAGCTCAGCAGTGTGTCAGTACCTAACTAAAGAACATCCTTATTTTCCTTTTTTGCARGATTTGAAGGTCAGACTGTGACATGGGGGACAGAAAAAGCAAACAAGCTCAGATGGGCCAACTCCAGCACCAGAAAGCAGCTATAAGGACMAGAAATACGTGGGTGTGTGGTGGAACTGGTCAAGGAGAATACTCAGCATGTATTATCAGGCAAACATTGAGGGATCAGCACTTGCTCCAGGAGAAAAGACTATTCTAAGGTCCCAGAGCTCATAAACTCTAAAAGGTTCCATTGATGCAGTTTCTCTCCCCTCTCTCTTCTCCCTTTCCTTCCCTGCCCATTCACGTAACCAGAGTTTGTCAAAATTACAACTAAAGTTGGAGGCTGTGACTGCTGAAAGTTCCCCTCCGTGCTCATTTTCACAGGGCTTTTGCAAGCTGCAGAGTGCCATCTAGACGGRGGAAGGAGGATGTGCTGCGAGTCAGCCAGCTGGAGGTAATAAATCCTTCAGGGATGCATCACAGAATGCCTACAAGATGCTTTGCAGAACAGCTCTTTGCAGACTGCAGATGTTTTGTGGCAATTTTTTTAAAGTACTAAAATCCTCCCGTGGCTGAATGAGCAATGGTCTCAAATGGCTTGTGGGATGAGACGAGAGCCCTTTTAGTTTAGCATCTGAATATTTATGCATTCTCATAGAGAAACATTTTAGCTCCTTATTTTTTCCAGGCTGTTTAAGGTTCGGATGGCCACTGAATCAGGACAATTTTTAATGCTGGGCTTCTAGGCAGAGCCTCATTAAAGGACACGTGGATGTGAATGAGGCGTTGCACACAAATTAATGAGTTTTTTACGTATGTGCAAATATTTGCCTGTGGAGAGGTATTGGAAGGCATAGACTTCATGAGCTGTGGATTTTTAGCAACAGGCTGAAAACCTTACCTATATCACAGGTGGAAAAAAAATCTGAGATAACTACAGAGATGTGGTGGTGCTGTCCCATGGCCTCTGTTAAATCCAGCATGGAAATCAGTCCACTGCACCTTGCTGCCTGCCCTTACCCAAGCTCGCAAGATAACGTCTGGAAAAATTCAGCAGAAGGCTGAGCTGGGGACAYAACAAGCAGAATAAATGTGTTTGCCTTTCTCCTTCCAAACCTGACCTCACAAATTCACCATTTAAACTGAGCAGCATGAAACAGACTTGTGGTATGGTTTGGGTTAGAGGGAAYCTTAAAGATCATCTCATTTGAAMCCCCCTGCCATGGGCAGGGACACCTTCATTGGACCAGGTTGCTCCAAGCCCTGGCCTTGGACACTTCCAGGGATCCAGAGGCAGCCACAGCTTCTCTGGGAACCTGTGCCAGGGCCTCACCATCCTCACAGCAACACAGCCAAAGAATGCCTCATCTCAAGAGTCCATATTTAAAAGACAGCAGCACAAAGCTGCCCTCCGGAAGCATGATCGTTTCTTTGGGAGTTATAAAACCAAGCACCAGCACAGCAATGTAATAAATAATAAAACCTGGTGAATAATGCAAATAAAACATTTTGTCTTCCTATTTTTCATGTTTCTAAATATATTTCCTTCCGTTGCTGTCAGCCCTTTTCTGCTTTGCCTTTCACAAACCTTCATGCGGAGCAGAAACAAATTGGAAAGGGCTTGGGAGAGAAGAGAAGGGGCTGCTGTCMCCCCTGCCTTGTTCCCCCTTCCTCTGCCACACTCTGTCAGGACCAGGAAGCCGGGGGCTGGATTTAGATTCAGTAGAGAGGCTTTCCCAGCCTGTAATTATGCTGACAGCTCCACGAAAGCTTTACTTTGGGTCTAATTAAGACTTATTAGAGTTGAAAACAAACAGAACTTGGTTCTTTCCTGTATGATAGACCCTTTACATG